CTATCATATAATTACTTAGAATTCGATTTATCTAATTAGACTTATTAAGCTTTAAATTCTTAGACTCTTTAATTCTAATTAGTTTATAAATTCTTTTTACATAGCAATTATTCTAGTACATTAAAATTTGATATAATAACTGTGTATTCAGTACTATATATATCTTATTGATTATGTAGTATCAGGAACCTGTAAAATTTTAAATACAAAAAATTTAAAATTTAAAGTATCAACTTAAATTTTCTAAAATTTTTAAATTCCAAGGAATTTATATCTAAAATTATCAATTTTAACTAAAATTTTCTAAAAATTCATATTATATTATAGTTTGTGATATGTAAGAATAGGATGCTGTGCAAAATATTTCAGAATTTCACAATTCTGGAATGTGGGCTACAGTATATTTAAAAAAAATATTTGATTTGCTTATCCCTAGTAATATGTATTTTATTTTTAATAAAAATTTTATACAAACTTAACTTATTTAACTTCTAAGACATACAGTATATGATTAGTTTATATTGGATATTGATACTATGATCTAGAGATTTTCTAATACAATTATGGTTAGGCCAGGCTTGAGCCAGGTTTAGATAGGCTCGGGCTAGGTTTGGGTTTATATTTCAAACTTATGATTAATCGGGCTGGGCTTGGGTTGAGCTTATAATTTAATAGGCCAGAATCAGGTCTAGATATTTGATCCTGTAATTAATCAGACCAAGCTTGGGCTGGGTTTATAATTCTATGAGCTGGGCTTGGGTTTAGATATACCTGGCCCAACTCAGCCTATTGCAAACCCTAATTAGAGTACTTAATACTAGACTATATATTGTTGTCATGTGAGTTATAAATTTTGTAGCAAGAAACTTTGCTAAAAATTTTTATCGCAGAGATTATAACTAACTACTAGCAGTATTTAGATTAATTAAATCTGGATTTATTATTAAAGTTTGTAAATTAAACTAGAAAAAGTTAACTTGTTATATATATATATATATATTTATAGTAGTAAATATTATATATATATAACTTGATTTATTAAATCAAATAAATGGTGATTAAGTAAATGTAGGGTATAGATTGTAGTGAATCTAAAATACTATTAATAAAAATAAAATAAATAATAAAATAAATACTTACTTTAATATTTTTATATATATATGTAATATACGTATATAAGTGCTAAGTACTACAGTACTATTGCTATTTCAAAGTTTAAAATAAATTAGTTCTAAAAATAAATTTTATATCCAATACCTGATTTGAGTAACTAATAGATACTCAACTTTTTCAAAAACTTAAAAATTGAGTTTTTATTCAATTTTGCCAAGCACTAAGGCTAATTTTAATAATTTAACTACTATTTGACTTAGAATTATTTTTTTTACAACTTTATTTTAATTTTTAAACTATTTTTATTTAGGAAGCAAACAGAAATCAGCCAATTTTTTAGAAAGAAGATCTAGAAATCTATAATATACAGTAACTAATTTTTAGATTTAAAATAATTAAACTTTATATATAAAACTATTTTAAATTTAATTTTTTTTCTTGTATATTATTGTACAAGTTTATACAGTAGCTAGTAAATAACATATCTATTAATTTGATTTTTAGGTGTCTTTTTTCAATAAATCATTATACAAACTTTTACTATTATGTATATAATATGAAGAATAATAAAAAAAAAAATCTTTAAACAAAATAGTTTTTTGGCTTCTATATAAGATAAATAAGCAATAAAATTTAAATCAAGCTATAAAGAAAGCAGTACTATTACTAGTTGTTTGAAGTATTTGGGTATTTTCAAGTAGTGAAGAATTGGTTTGTTATTAAACAATTGGTTGTATAATATGTAAGAGTAAATTTGAAAGCAATTTTCAGAAAAACTACCTTTTAACTTACTTTTAGCTAATAATTAGACATATAAATATTAAAATATTCTATATACTTTATTATGAATTAAAAGTAAGTTTAAAAGACTATTGTTGTAAAAATTCACATTGTAATAAATTTTAATAGCAAATAATTCTCGATCATGATTGGCTAATTTTGGGGTGAAACCAAACAGTGGATATAATAAAAATACAACTACTGTATACTATATATATATACTATATATAATTTTAAATTATTTAAGTAGGTTTGTTATATTTGCAATATATTTATTTAGATTCTTTAATCATACAGTATATTACATATATGCATATACAGTATATATAAATACGCATATAGTTAATTCTATAAAATAAATATCTTGTAAGGTTTAAATTTTATATCAGTTTAGTATAGTAAGTCTTGTATTAAAAAGTTAATGTAATCAGAAAAAAATTTAAATTCGAATATACGTATTGCCTTTATTAAAAACCAAGTAAAAACTCAATTCTACTTTATTATAAAAATTGAAACTACTGTAAATTTACTTAGCACTTTATTGAAAAATTTGAATGACACTAAAACTTGTGAAACTAGATATAATAGCCAATGGGAAACTCGGATGGAAAAAAATTAGTTCACCTACAACTCTACTGCGTAACATACGCACATATGATACGCGAAAAATATGAACACTGAATATTCCTCCTATCCGGATAGTCGACATCCGTATCCATCCGAATATTCGTTGACACTATCCGTGCTCAAAAATGGCCATTCGGATATCCGTAAATATTACGGATATCCGGATGATGGCCAATTAGAATGCGTTGAAATAATTTTATTAATTACAGTAAATTAAAAAGTCTATATAATCATCCGGAATATTTTTTGTTATCCGGATTCACCATCCGTGAGCAAAATTTGACATCCGAATATCCGTACCATCCACGGATATCCGGATGTTTAACCAAACGGATCCCAACACTACTGAATATATGTACCGGATACTCTAATTCTGTAATTTGGATTCAAGTTTCTTCTTAATAACGTAACGAACTGGATATTTTGAAAAAAAGGTTTTCCGAGAGCTGAACTGATAAGCTTAAACCATTCAACTTGCTAAAAGGACGTTTCACATATAATACGTATCGAAAAAAATATGCGCATATGTACGTACGTACATCACATATTTCAATTCACTCTACGCATCGATCTATGCTTAATAGATTCTATTCGAAATAACGGACATAGTACGAATGACCAGACTAAGAATGATCACCATAATATCGTAATAATTACGTGAAATATCGATATCAGATACGTATAATACGTATTGATCATTCGATACACGCCCAACATAGTAAAAATAAAAATAACAAATTCTAGAAATTTAGTTTCTAACAATTCGAAAAATGAGAATTGTACTATACGAACAATATAAAATCATATTCTGTAAACATAGAAACATAGTTGTAAACATAGTTGTACAAACTTAAGTCAGTTGACATATACCTTATTCAGCAGTTCATTATTCGTAGGTCATTTGGGTTCTCGGATAATCAATACGAAAACTTTAATTAGCGTTAAATTAATATATACATATTTAAACCCAACATTGATTAAATCAAATTTGGTATACAAACTTGATATTTCCTGTTTACCAATTGTTCATTCGTGGGACTACACGTTTGATATTTCCCCAGAAAATATGTAATAGGATCAGTCACAACGGCTATCTCCGTAGCACGAGTAAGATCATTAACATCGATATACAACTTTATTAGAAACGATAATGTAATTATTGCGTATATATCGTGTTCAATTTGTCATATAAAACCTAATATAAATCCAAGTGCATTAAGAATTCTCCTCTATCCTGAGTTCTATAGCACGTTAATTTATTTTAAGAACAATATCAGAATGCTATTTTATGCGGGGTTTGCAAGAGCAGCACAATTTAAACGGTCGTTGGCTGCCTTGGTTTCTGCTACTTCGATAGCCTTGCTACAAACTAAACAACGACTAAGCGTTGTTGGAATATTTGGAAACTTTGATCTCCTGCGATCAGAAGATAATTCTGAAAATGGCAATGCTGCGAAAAGAACGACGACAGAAATGCCAGTAAGACCAAACTATCGTGCTCCGAGATTACCTATCGTTTTGTGCCACGGTATTTTGAACTCGATTTTTTAATTTAAAAGATCACTATTCTCATTCTTTTTTTTTTTCTTTAGGTCTTTTTGGTTTCGACAAACTTGGTATGTACCATTCTTTATTATGCTCACGTCAAATGATTTTACTTCAATTATAATTATTATAACTGATGCATGTTAAGGCCCTTCCTCTATTCCATATTTGCAAATACACTATTGGAGTGGTATTGAAGAAGCCTTACAGAAATTAGGCGCGAAAGTTGTGGTTACCAGGGTTCCAAGGTAAATTTTTTATTGGCCATTTCATCATTGATATAATAAAGTAATGTTAATCATTTATCTTATATATATATATTTATATACATATATATATATCGATACTAATATATATATTAACTTATTACTGTATAAAGAACCGGTTGCATTCGGGCTCGTGCCCAAGCCTTGCATCACGCCTTAGAATCAATCTTATCCGATAAATGTAATGTGAATTTGTTGGCGCATTCGATGGTTTGGCAGACAATTATGTGATTATTTAATATTTTGTTTCAATTGTTTAATGTTGCGGCATTTTCTAATCTCTTTTTTTTTTTTTTTTATAATTTATCATTATTCAATCTTTAAGGGTGGACTAGATTGTAGATGTCTGATTTCTCAACTTCCTACTGAGAAATATATCGTTCGAACATTGACTACAGTAGCAACTCCACACCGCGGTAGTCCATTTATGGATTGGTGTCGGGATAATATTGGAGTGGGCGGAATTAGTCAAACGTTTGAAGAAGCTGCTAAAGTTGTAGATGATGCTTTAAAACAAATGGCTGAGAAAACACGTGACCATCAGAACCCCAATGATTCAAGATCATCTCTATCAGAATTAAGGGTTCAAGAACAGTCCTTAAGGTCTCCTTCTCAAGCAGAAAATATTGTAAATTCTCGTGGTATTATTGTTAGCACAAAATCGGATAAATCTGAATCATCCAATGCTTCTAATAAGAAATCATTCAGCATACCTATTTCTTTTAACCTTCCGAATTTTAACCTTTCTCTTCCAAACATTAACCTTTCAAACATGAACCTTTCAAAAATTAATCTTTCAAAAATTAACCTTTTTAGCCTATCTTCTATTTCACAAGCAACATATACTATCTTGCATCCCGTTACCCAATCTTTAATTCACGCTTTTGATACTCCTGCTTACAGTAATCTCACTACTGATTATTGTGTTAACTATTTTAATAAGGTTACTCCTAATGATCCATCAGTTGCATACTATTCATATGGTGCTTCTACAAATGTTCCATTTTGGTCACCTTTATATTTTCCTCATCAGATAATTAAAGAAAAAGAAGGTCCCAATGATGGATTGGTTAGTGTTAAATCTGCTCAATGGGGCAAATATTTGGGGACTGTAGAATGTGATCATTGGGACTTGACTAATAAATGGAGAATTAAAATAGGTTCAAGCTTTGATCCTATTGAATTTTATTTAAAAGTTGCAACTTTTTTGGCAGCTGAAGGTTATTAATAGATAAATAAAATGGCTAATAAATATGTAAACTTTGCTTATTATTAATTCGAAAATTTCATCGATTTTTTTCAATAAATATAATTTATTTATTATATCTTGTCACTATAAATTTTATGTTATTTAATAAATATTGTTATTGTTCATGTGTTATGATCATGTAAAAATTTTTTGCCTTGATGTTTTTGTCATAAAATGACGCAAAATGTCAACAAAAAATTTCACGTACTACTACGCAGCACATGGGAGTGACATTAATTCACGCCCAATATCTTATAATTATTGTAAACTTTAATAATATTTGCTATATATATTTTTTAAATTATAAAAAAGGTAAAAATAATTTTACAAAGTTGTTAATTTCTCGTTGTTTTTAATACAAATTAAAGTATATTAAAGGTCGTAGGATCGATTTCCGGGCACGTGATTTTCTGACGTCATATAAAAAATTTATTTACGTTAGGGTTTGGGTTTGAAAGCTATTATATAGTACTGTAAAATTGCGCGAGGAAAATTTTTATTAGGACCAAAAAGGCGATTTACTGGCCTATATTTCGTGATAAGCATAAATTTTGCAAAGCGAACGTTTGTTTTGATTTTCTTTACGTTACACGTAATATCGGTTGACACGTTGATTACCAATAAAAATTGATGATCAGGTGTAACGTGATAACCAAAACAATTTAAATTTGGCATGTTTACCGAAATTGTTTTTTTTATCTTCACACTTAGTTCGCTTCTTCTTCGCTTTAAGCTATACTCCATGACGTCCGGCTTTTTTATCTCCCCTGTTTCAAGATCTACTGGTTCTATATGAGGAGCCAGTTACGTTCTTTTCTTGATTTAATCAGCTAAAAAACATGGACAGAGAGGTTTTTGTTAGCGAACTAAGTGAAAGC